CAAGTAAACTTTTAATCTTGTTTATTTTTCATTACGAAATATTTCAAACCTATAGAGATAGACCAACATGTTGATGAATATTTTTATAGTACCATTAGACTGATCAAATCCTTTCCTTTGCTTACATAGAAAAAATTAAAACATTTTGTAAATGCTAACACTAGTGTATATAAATGTCCAGGGTCTAGAAATACTGATTTCTATATGATAGGGTTTTTTAAACCTTTGAGACTCTGTATGGCTTCTGGACTATGACACTCAGATGTGACAAACTTGAGATCAGTCTTGTTGGTAAAGGGGTTGAGTCAACCTTCTCCCCAACCTCAGGCAGCATAGCGTGGAACAAATTTCCATTCATTAAGATTAAGACAGGGATTGTAAGCACAGGACCTACCTTGGAACTCAGAGAAACTTAAAATCTGGCAGATTCTAATGTCTCTATCTTGAGACTGGTTTCCACAGACAGAGCTTCCAGAAGAGCCTCCATTTAAGACAGAGGCATGTGACCTCAGTCTATTAGATTTCTATTCTTCTAATTCTCACTACCCATTATGGAAAGCAGTATGGAGATCATATGGGTCAGTCTTTCCTTCCTGTGCCTTATTATGCTTAGACCAGAAACTGTAATTACCTGGATTCCTTAGTTTTTAGGGGAGTAAGTCATTGGTATAACTATTAAAATGGAGGGGCGGGTGTTGTAGGATTTTATTCAGTCACTATCTTTGTCCACCTGGGGTTAAATTTTTTTTTAATTATTTTAATATTGGAGACTGGAGAGTTAACTCAGTGATTAAGAGCATTGGCTGCTCTTGCAAAGGACCTGGGATCAATTCCAGCACCCACACGGTGGCTAACAACCTTCATTAATTCCAGTTCCAGGGGAGCCAATGCCCTCTTCTGGTTTCTGTGGGCATGCATGATGGTGGTGCACTTACATACATGCAGGCAATACACTCATACACATAAAAATAAAAATAATAAATAAATGTTTAAAATATTTTAACATAGAATATTGCTAGCCAGTATGTTTGGAACACAGAATATGGACATAGTACTTTTTATAATCTCAGACTATTTTTGTTCTTAACTTCGGAAAACAATTTTACTTAATCTGATCTAACATCTTTTTTATGACCACCAGGTTCTTATGATTGGTACTTTGTTTTTAACCTTTCGTATCATACTCTTCTTTCCTTTCTCTGAAATCTAAAAAATCTTTCTTTGCATGAGGCATTTTGCTCTATCATTTGTGTTCCTGACTGTATCTCACAGGAATTTTAACTGAATTCATATATTTTTTAGTTACTTTGCATTACTTCCAAATGTCTGCATCAGCAAGAAATATCTGAGTTACTTTATTGATGTATATTTTTTCTTTCATATATTTACAAACTATAAGAACATTTAATAATCTTATTACATACTGCTTGAAATGGAATATTCACCAAGATTCATGATTATTTGATCTGACAGAAAATTGAAATACATACAAACCACTACCCTACCAGACATTGCTAGCACAGCTCTTCCTTCCTCTGTGGGAGAAATTAGATATCCTACTTTGAGTACATTACTTATACCCTACTCCATTCTTTCCTTTTCTCTTTTGAAGGAGAGATACTCCCTTCAAAAAGAAGTTCTCCACCTCTTTTTCTCCCATACCTCTTTTCCAACAGAAGCTTTATGCATGTGTATATTTAGTAGTAGAACTGGCCTGGGCATACAGCAAGTCAGTCCACTGAAGAAAAGTATTTTTTATTGTTGCTGTATCCTTTGGGTCTCAGAGTT